GATTTCCTCACAGAACTCTCTCCAAGACGCTGGAGATGAAACAAACGCTCCGTGAGGCTTCGTACCCGCATTCGATTAGTCCTACTAAAAAATCTGCGGAAGGATTGCAGGAACTATACTACGTTGTTGAAAAAAAATGTCGGTTACCGCCACTTCAATTAAGATCAGACACGTGACGATGAAAAACGAACGCCAGATTGGTTTCCTATTGGCTGTCCAAGAGGGGGATGCCGGATTCTGCATTCCGGTAATCAAGAAAGCACGTGAACGTGGGACACCTGATTGGTCGGCAGCGTTAGCTTCACGTGTCCTGTGAACTATTGTTGGCTGAGTGGGGAAACCGCCTCAAGGATTGTGCTTATCTGCTGGGGATGGGGGAATGCTCTTGGAGGGTCGCCCATAATCGCGGAAAATGGAGTCGAGGGGGTGGGGGAACCTCTTGAAATGCTGCTCTTCCTCCCTAAATTTCCTCTCTAGGTGTGAATGAGAGGTCAGCCTTCTCCGTCCTTTTTGCCAGACTTCCTTCTTCTCTTTGCCAGACTTCCGTGTTCTCTTCGCTATTTGGGGTTGCCGGCCACTGATGGTCCGACTAGCCCAAGCCTAGAGGAGTTGTGACCTTCACTCTCCCCGACTGCCGTGCTCAATGCGTGGGAGCAAGATGGCTAGAAGCTGCGAAGGCCGGATGGCGGCAAGGCTAAGCATCAGTTCTGGAGGTCGTAACCACTCCTCAGGCCTGCCCTGGGTCGAATCACCATACATGGAGATGCCGCGCTCGAAGCTGTGGGCCTTTTGTGACGCGCCACCCAAGAGGGCTGGTCGGGGAAAGAGAAGCCACCGCAGCCGTTCCCTCGCTCTGGATGGTGCGACGGGCACGGATCGGGCCTGGGAAACCCATTCTCCGCCCCCCCCCCCCCAATCTGTTAGAAAAAAGAAACAGGGGGCTCATTGGAACAGTCACCGCCTTCTTTTTCTCCTGGATGGCTAAGGGCTGCCAAGGGCGGGAAGCATCAGCAGCTTCTCCGACCCCGGCTGTTGAGAAAAAGGCTAAGGCACGGCGGAAGGGAAGAGGGAGCCGGGAGGCTCCTTTCGCTTCTTCGTATCCCACGTTCTCTTCCTTGCTGAGCGGCATCGCCTACGAAGTGGACCTGATGCCCTGCCCTTTACGAGCCGAAGAAAGGATGAGGTGGATGCTTCCATGACAACCCTGCCCTTGTGGGGTAAAGTTGATGTTTGCACCTGGGCGGTGTCGTGGCCCTAGGATTTCCCTCCTTCCCGCGTTGGTTTCAGTTGAGGTTACCAGATCTGAGTTGCAAATAGCCCTACGGTCTCTAGATGGGAGACGGAGTAAATGCAACCTTTTCCCTGTGTATTGTACAGAATGGGGGAAAGGAGAGGGATTGACTGTTTACACCTAACCTTATATTTACTAATTTAACATGCTACCAGCTACTGAGGTCTTTTTGAAGTTTCCTTTTCAGCTAGGTTTTCCAGTTAGTATCTGATCCAAATAATGCCAAATAAAATAAGTGGTTTTTCTTAAAATAAGACTGCAATAGTTGTGGGGGGAAAAGTAATTTGCTTTCTCACACAGGTACCTAAAACTCTAACCCTAACCCTTTCAAAAGCAGAGAAAAATAGAATGAAAAAGTAAACATTGAAGGTAGGGAATTAAAAGGAAGATAGAGCAACATTGTGTTTTTGAGGCAGAACTAAAAATGGGAAGTGATAGTAGATAAGGAACTGGCGTTTCCTCTGAAATTTCTGGTGGTAAGTTAAGACTTCACCACTGTGACTGCACCATCGCCACCCCCCACTTTTGCTGCAATGTATCTCTTGACTCATGTAGAGAAAGCCATATTCCATGCAGGCTGTGAAGCCCATCTCACTATATGCTACAACCAAAAATAGGGCCACACAAATGCATTCAAGGCCAGGATCTAACAGGGCATCTTGTCCAGATTTAATATTTTAGAAGGGCTTGTAGACTTGGGTTTTTCTATTGTCTTCCCAGAAATTTGCAATTACTTTTTTTAAAGCTTCCCTCGTCAATAAAGCTTGGGGGAAAGCAGAAGTACATTTGTTTATAAAAAAAATAAGTTTACACATTCTGTGTCTGTTACCAGAAATAAAATCCTAGGCTCAGCATATGCCCAAGGGAAACCTTGTTTCTCAGTTTTTGGTCTGCTTTTCTTGAGCTATTGTAAATCTAGGGTTGGTTAGTGGGCCCCAGAATTTGAATGAAATACAAAAATAGCTAAACTAAAAGTTAAAGTTTGCTTGCCCATATAACACAGATGTCTATATTGCTAGTCAAAAAAAATATTAAACCAATTTGTAAGGTTTCCAGTATTTCTCATCTAATAATTCTTTCTTAATACAATGATGTTTTCCATAGTACATAGAAAGAGGAAATAAATTGCTCAAGGCCAGATGGGAAAAGCATTCACTAGGTGGATACGTCAGTATCTATGTTTTTCATTAACAAAGTAGCAATTCTGTTTGCTTAAAAGGTCAAATCAGATCGTATTTGTTGAGGGTTAAGGCAACCTGTTACCTTAGTCATTTTGAAACAAACTCAACTGGCTATGTAACCAAATATATTTACCAGTTTATTGTATTGTGTATGTGTGCTGGACAGTTTAACTACATTTCTATAGCTATTTCAACAAATTTGGTTTGAGTAGTTGAAATAGTATCTAGGTATTATTACATATGTTCAAAAAAAATTTTTTAAATACCTGGCACCACTGATCAGTATTTGTTCAACCCCAAAACTTTCTTAAATTCTTAGAAGAAAAAAGAATGAACTAAAGAGGTCATAGGTTTCTTTAAATTTAAAGAAATGTGGCAACCATTACTAGACTACCTGTATTTAATTGATGAAAATGAAGCAATGACAGTGGGTTTCTTATTATAAAGAATGTGAATGAATAGAAATAAATAGTATACCAAGAGCTTAAAATTATCAGGAGTTTTATAAAGGGGTTAAAGTTACATTGACAGCTAATTTAGTTGGAAACGTTTAGCTTAGAGAAATTTGTTTATAAGGTTATAATTTTTCTCTACTTTTTTGGAAAAAGAATGTCAAAAATGGATAATGACAAAAAGTACTTTCAACATAATGTATTACAACAAGATGTTTAGAAAGATGTTGATCTTTATTGTACATTATTCTAAATGTTGAAAAAACTTTTTTGTACAAATATTTGTTTAAAGAATAAAATAAAACTTTTTAAAGGCAAAAAAAGAAGTCATAGGTGTGTGTTCTAAATACCCTGTTCATTTTACCAGGGCAGTTTTAAAAAAGTTAGTCCTAAAGCAAGTTATCTGCAGTATTCAGATTACAAAAGACTTGTACAGTAAGTGTGCTAGATATTTTATGTCAAAGAGTCTAACAAATAAATTCTATGTTAGTTTTATCATTCATTCTCCAAAAAAGAATCTACAAAAATCCATCAGTAACGCAGAAGACATTTATTCCCCCTCCTGCATAAAAACATTTTTTTTTAAAAAAATGCATTTATGCAATTGCATGTGTGGTTAGGCAGGTGAGTGGGCATTATCATAATATGATGAATGGCTGGCGTAGAAGATTCTTCAACATTCTCACTCCCACTCATTGCCCTTTCTTTTAAATGAAAATAAAAAGATGATTGCACAAATGCATTTTTACCTCTTGTTCAAGAGACAGTAAATGTATATGAAAGAGTTCATTCTGGATTTGAGCAAAGGTATAAGTGAGTTATATGGATTGATTTAGCCTGGTGTTACAGAAAAGTTAAATACAGCCTTAGCGTTTATGCTAGTTAAATTCTCTATCTTAAAATCAGCAAATTTGAAACTTCCTGCTTTGATGTTTTGGATGTGCTATTACTGTCAATATACTTCTACAATGGAGTCCTTGGTGCTCTCTGAGCTTGGTTGTTTGCTTGCAGACATTTCATTACCTGACTAGGTAACGTCATCAGTG